AAGGACGGAGCGCCCTCTGGTGGACGTTCTGCAGACAATGTGAGCCTTCAGTTGCAGCGATGGGGAAGATGGTGGCGGCGATGGCCAGAAGATGCAAAGCGGATGCACGGGACCCCCTGTTGCAACTATTGCTCTTATTTCGTTTCTGCAGCACCCAGTTGCTGCCATCTGAGCATCTACAGTTGGTCAAATACATTACAATACAACATGGAATTTAAGCAACAGTTAAAATTCAGTCTTTTATTTATTATTAGATTTATATTCCACTTTTTTCTTACAAAGAACTCAAAGTGACTTACATCGTTCTCCTCCTGCTGCTGTCAAACTCATCCCCACAACAACCCTGTGAGGCAGGTGGGCTGAGAGTCTGTGACTGGCCCAAAGGCACCTGGTTGGCTCCATGGCTGAGCAGGGACTAGAACCCAGTCTAAGTCCCAGTCTGGTGCTCTTAACCACGACACCATATGGGCTCTCGGTTTTTAAACCCAATTTTCACAACCTAAGCAGCAGAGGCAGATTCATCCAGCTCATTCTTCTCAAAAGAACTGGGAATACCCACCCCGAGTGGTACATGGAGCTGTGAAATGCCTCAGCTTAAGGGGCATCCTCGTCTGGCAATGAAGGCTAGCAAAGTGGATGCCAGGTGAGCCTCACTGGAGAGAGCATTCCAAAACTGGGGGCCACCACACAGAAGGCCCTCCGTCTTGCAGCCACTAACCCAGCCCTCCTTGCAGGAGGTAATTTGGGGGAAGGCCTCAGTAAGCGAACTGACCCTGTTGTGGTTGGGGGACAAGGGTTCCGGCCCCAAACCTAGCAGGGTTTTATCCGGGTAACTTAAAGTTGCTGCGGTTGCTTGCAAGAGCTCCAGCCTCTGCATATTCCAATAACCAGCTTCAGTCAGTCATGTACAAATGAAACATTTTAGGAGCACGGGAAGGTGGCCTGCATCAGAGCGCACGATTTCGCTGTCCACAGAGCCAAATGGATTCAGCGAGTCTCTGAATACGGCTGACCCGTATTGACCGGCAGCACCAGTGATCTTAAAAAACACGGCCTGTGCATACAAAGCCCTCCCACCAAGCTGTGGTCCCAGTGCCAGAGGGCCATCCCCACACCGAGAGTATAAGAGCCCTGCTGGATTCGACCACGGGTCCCTCTGGGCCAGTCCCTATTCCTACAGGGGCTGACCCGCTGCAGGAAGGAAACCACAAGCAGGACCCGAGTCCCCACCCATGCTCCCCAACCACTGGTGCATGCGGACACATGGCCTCGGATCCTGGAGGTAGCCTAAGGCCATCGGGCCGAGTAGCCATGGGTAGCCCCCTCCACCACGAATTTGCCCAGCCTCCTTTTAAAGTGGGTGGCGCAGCAGGTTAAACCGTTGAGCCTCCGGGCTGTCGATCAGAAGGCCGGCAGTTCGCGTCCACGCCACCCTGCAGCTTTGACCCGGCTTCTGCCAACCTAGCGATTCGAAAACACGCAGATACCAGTAGATAATCAGGTACCATTTTGGTGGGAAAGGTAACAGTGTTCCGTGCACCTCGGCATTAAGTCATGCCGGCCACACGACCACGGAAGCAAACGGAGGCGAGCCCCAGGCCCAGAGTCGGACACGACTGGCACGCGCGTCGGGGAAACCTTTCCCTTTCACCCTTTTAAAGCCACCCTGATTGGGGCCCATCACTCCACCGGGTGGAAGCGAATTCAGCCCTGGATCTCCCCATCAGCTCCGCAGGGTGGGCCCCTCTGGGTTCAAGTGTTACGGGAGAGGAAGGGAAACGCCCCCCCCCTCCACTTTCTCCATACCATGCATGACTTTGAGCACCTGCATCACGTCTTCCCCGCCTCAGCCCTTTACCCTGTCTTCTAGAATTAAATAATACACTATGATAAAACAGATGAAAGGGATCTAACAATACATTAAAACACAATCAATTAAAACCGCGGTTGTTTAGTCCGGGGAGGCCTTCTAAATAAAGATGTTTCAGGAGGTGCCGGAAACAACACAACCTTGCAAGCTCTGGTCCAGCCAAGGCAGGCGGGTCACGGAAACGGAGCAGCGCACAGAAGGCTCTCAGCATCAAAGAGCAGAGGAGCTGGAGGGGGCCGGGGAGCCCCTGAGTCCGACGCCCCGCTCAGTGCAGTCCAAGCATCCCTGACAGGTGGCTGTCCGGCTGCCCCTTGAACGCCTCCGGCATGGGAGAGCCCACCAGCTCCCAAGACCTTTGGTTCCACGGCTGCACCACGCTAACACGCAAGAATGTTGTCTCATGTCCCGCGAGAATCTGCCTCCGTGCAGCATGATCCCATTATTCCGCCTCTGCACGCTGGGATGGTTGGGCAGCGATCCAGGCCCTCTTCTTTGCGGCAGCCTCTCAAGTATTTCGGAAGTGCTGTCTTTCCACCCCACTCAGTCTTCTCTTCTCCAGGCTAAACCGGGCCCAGTTCTTTCATTCTCTCCTGTTTCCGGAGAGGGCTGTTTCCGCTCTTCTCCGGGTAGACCCTGATCTGGCCATGCAGACCCACCAGAAATGGAGCCGTGTGGAACCACCAGCCCAGGTCCAACCTCCTGAAGTGGAGTTCCAGAAATGGGCCTGCGACACGGAAGACTCCTCTCTGGGGGAGCTCCAGCCAAGGCCATGGTCCACGTGGAGCCGCTCAGGACAAGCCACCCGGCAGCCTAAGTGACTGGGCAAGCTGTGGGCTTTATACACAAGCACCAAAACCTTACACCTGGCCAGGTGCTACCGAACGAGCAACGCCTGTCCCCTGAAAGGGGGCCCGACTTTCCCAAGTCTCCAGCTCTCCCGTCTCCACCGTTGGCAGAACACAGCCAAAACCCCGACCACGGAACCTGGAACGCTGGGGGGGGGGGGTCGCTCGGCAACGGGAAACAGCCGCCTGGCAGGGGGAAGCCCGGGGAGCGCCCGGTGGCGGCCTCGCTGCTCCCCCCTGCAGTGGCGAGCACGGGGCTCCGTGGCCATGGCAGAGCGGCCACGGAAGGCACACGGTCAGTATGGCGGCGGCGGCTGCAGCCTTCCCATCCAGGCCAGTGTTCTCCACACGGGCGGGCAGCAACGGCCCTCCAGGCTGCAGGCCAGCTCTCTGCCGGCCCAGGCTCCACGTGGGGTGGCAGCCCTCCGCCTGACGAGGGGGGAGCCAGGGCCATGGGCCGGGGCATGCGGGAGGCCGTGGCTTCTCGTGCCCCCCCCCCCGAGCCGCAGCTCTGGCAAAAGGCACGCTGGGAGAAGACCGGCCTGAAGAAAGGACTTCCCGAGACAGAAAGGCCGGGCCTCCCTCTGCCCGCGGCTCCACCGAGCTCGCACGCCAGCCACCCGTGCGAAGTCGGAGGGGCGCACGCGGCAGCCGGAGGGGTGCCCACGTGCGGGAGCGGAGCAGGACGAGGACCTGGGGGCCGTCCAGCCCCTTCCACCTCGGCTGCTCCTCCCTTCCCTCCACCCAGGCCAGGAAAATCATTAATTCCCCAACTGAGCGAGCCTGGCCTTTAAGGCTGCCTTCTCGGGCGCCGCTCTCCCACCTTCCCTGCTGCCAGAGGGGCTGCGCAGGTGACTCCCAGGCACTGGGACGTTCCTCCCAGGGAAGGCCACCAGGCCACCGCTGCCGCCGCCTCTTCCTCCCCATGTTCTTTTAGGCTGCAGTCCTAAACACACCGGTTGCAACAGCCCTCTAAGTTGGACTACATTCCCAAAAGCTGGCTAGGGGATTATGGAAGTTGTTGCACAACCCCAGATGCGTGGCACAGTGCTGGGGTGGCGCTCGGAAGAACCAAGGAGTAGGAAACCCACTGGGTGGCATTGGGCCAGTCATGGATCTTCTGCCTGGCCTACTTTGCAGGGCTGTTGTGAGGATAACGCAGAGAACCTTGTAAGCCACTTGCAAGAAAAGAAAGGCAGCTTTGATGCAATAACAAGAAAAGGTCTCATTCAACACGGGGGTATTTATGTCTCAGTAAACTCGCCCAGGGTTCCTTCGCATGAGACACCCCACTGTGAAAATGAGCTCATTGTTCCCAAAGGTGGAAGCAAGCGCCTTAAGTTCAACAGGGCTTCCTCACCGGCAAATCCAGGCCTACAACTCCCATCACCCCTTGCAAGCGCAGGAAAGGCTCATGGGAACAGTAGGCTCAAAAACACTGGAAAGCCCTCCATTGCCCTGCGTTGCTAGACCTACAGACCTCTCTGCACTCTGCAGGGCTTGCTTACAGCGTAAATAAAACTGCCCCGCGTGTCGCCATGAGGATCTAAGACAAAACCTAGCAAGCCGGAGATTTTAGCTCAAAATAAGGTTGCACGTGACGCCAAGGAGCACCCAAAGGTTTCCCGGCTTGGAGCCTCCTGACGCGCCCAAGATCAGGGCAGGTCGTGGCATCTGCAAGGTGTCCGGAATTTCCTCCCCCCGTATTGAATTAACCCCCGCGTCCTCTGGAAGTCTACCAAGCTGGCCATATTCTGAAATATTTTGAAAATATTTTCAAGGTATTCTGAAATGCCTCCCTTCAAAGGAAAGGCAGGGAGACATTACACTCACACTTAGAGTTTAGTGTGAGGTTTAAGACACAATCCGAGGGCAGAAACACAAGACTCCTCCATCTCCCGAGACAGACTGGCACAGTCGCACCCAGCACAACAGGATCAAGGGTGCGAACGGGGCGCGTTTGGACAGAGAAAGGCCCACGCGCCCCGCGAGTCCCGGGCGGGCGGGCAGGCGAGCAGCGCGGCGGTGCATTTCTTCACTTGCTCTGCTCAGGCCGAAGCGCTCCCTGCACGGCTTCCGGGCGGTGCAGGCGCCGCAACGCTGGCATGGAGCCCAGCAGCTCGGGCCGCCCCGCAGCCTACCTCGCGGGGCCGCCGGGGGTGAGGAGCGCTGCCCGCGGAGGGCGGGACGCAGCCCGGCGCCCGCCCCGCAGGCCCGCCGCGGCTGCGCGGGGAGGAGCGCCCGCCGGCCCGCTTTCGCTTTCGCCGCGCCTGACCTGCGCCGCTCCCGTGCGCTCTGCAGGCGGCGGCGCCATGGCGGGGCTGGAGCTGCTCTTCCACTCGGTGGCCGCGGATCTCTCGTGCCCGCAGGACGCGCTCGTCTGCTACCTGCACTGGACGCTGATCACGCGCGGCTACCGCTGCCTGGGCGCCGGCGACCAGGTGAGCCGCGGCGCGGCGCCGGGCCGGGCTCCTGCAGGCCGCCCGG